ACAAATGATTTAATTTGATGTTTGTTAGTGATTTCTGTGTGTGTGTGTGTGTGCGTGTGTGTGTGGGAGCACGTGTATGTGTGCTACATTTCTAAGAATATATATGTGTGTGTGCGTGTGGGCACCTCGGTGTGGTGTAATGGTTGTCAAGCTAGATCAGTTACGACTGAAAAGTGAATTCGATCCTCACTAGGTGCCCCACACTTTCGGCCTTGGACTACATCTAAGCTACGCTTAGAAAATAACTATATGCGTGTGTGAGCGTCTGCGTGCTAAATTTCTAAGAATATATATATATATATATATTACTCTAAATCCCCCCCCCAAAAAAATTCATTCACTGTATATCTTTGCTAGACCCAGCTAATGCATTGTTCCGTGGTTATTCGTATAATTGGATGATTATCGCTGCGGAACTGAGTAGAGGCGCCATATCGAGTCCAGTTTGTGTCTTCTTCGTCACCGAGACCCGTGGTACAGTTGCTATGACGTTGAATATTATTCTGGGCTCGATGAATTCTATATATATATATCGATATATATATATATATATATATATATATATATATATATATATATATATATATATATATATATATATATATATATATATATATATATATATAGTTCATATATTTTGTTTTTCTACTAGTATGTTCCTAAACACACACTCAGATATACCCGACACCATTAGGAAACATACTAGTAGAAAACACAAATATATTAATTGCATCCACTTGCAAAAAAAGACTAAAAATAATGGAAACTCTAATAATAAAAAAGAAAAAGCCAACTCTTAACAATATTAACTATGAACAAAGCCACAATGTTCTAACCGTATTCGGAAACTAAAAACATCACTACCACACACTGAACATACACAGAACACACACACACTCTACTAAGCTGATAATCGAATCATCCTTGATAATGGCTAAAGGTATAGCCGAAAGCGCTCGGAAATATAGAACATTTGGACAGTTCTTACACAATTTTGTCCAGAAAAGAAAGCTCTTGTCAGAACACAAGAAAAATTAAATAAAAAGCTCAACCGTAGTACCTTGTCTGTCGTTTTAATGAAACATGCATATATATATATATATATATATATATATATATATATATATATATATATTTGTTGTAGTATCACTATGATCGATAATGGATGTGTCCCCATTCAAATAAATACAGTATTAAATGCTGCAGTTGGAGATTCGTCTCCAGCTGTCCTGGTCAAAATCTCTGCCTTTGAGCAGAGAGGATCCCCAGACTAGGCTGTGACGAAGGGCAGAGTTTCGTCTCTGGAAACAGCTACCCGACCCCATTTTATACGTGGTCTACCTGGAATTTTGGGGCGAGCCTACGGGCTTGGGTACCCCACATTAAATTAAATACTACTTCTACGCACCGCTAACGAATCTGGATATAACATCCCTCAGATATGTGACAAATATATATGATGAATACAGAATCCTTAAAAATCTATCTGGTTATAGTTTATTTCATGGACTTTACATCCACTCTTCAGACGAGCGTTTTCTTAAAAGGATTCTGTATTCACAATTACATTGCTCTGTTCTTACATTGATTTCTCTTTGGATTAATATTCTCCTTGGAATTATCCCTACTAATTATCAATTGATATTATATATATATATATACATATCATAATTATTTTCTATTTTAAACATATGGTTCCATCGCTACACAGGATTTTCTATGTTTCAAAACAGAAACTAAAATTTTAAAATTTATTTATAAAATAAAATTTATAACCCATAGAGCAGTTCCATTCTCAAGCAATTTTTGAAATATCCTATTAAGGAATTTACTAAATTTATAAGCATAAAAAATTTAATATTTTAAATTGTTAAGGTTACGGAAATTTCAATTATTTTGATAAGGGATGGTTGGGTTTTAATTTCCCTAGACAACATATGTATCAAATATAAGTTACTTTGAAAATCAGGTTAAGTGAAGATGGGGTAGGAGTGCCGGCTCACAATGACATCCGTTTTACGCGTGTCGTCTGGGTTTTTGAATGATAAAAAATTTTGTCATTTTTTTTTATTTTTGACCTCTTAATTTATAATTTTACTGATGTCGGAAAATGACTATGTCGTATTTTTGATATTTAAAATCTATTCCTACAAATTTAAAGTACTGTTCCTACTTCTAATAACTAACAGACTGTAAGTTATTTTTTTACAAATAAATATAGTACAATTACATTCGTATTTAAAACACATATTAATCAAAGATCAAGTATAAATATGTATATATCATCTTTCATCTCTTTTTCAAAATAAATCATTATTTAAGGAAAATATTTGACAGTGGCTGCTTTTTTTTTTAAATAATTAGTAAGAACACCGGATTATAAATCTTATTATTCTTTTTCAATATATATATATATATATATATATATATATATATATATATATATATATATAGAGAGAGAGAGAGAGAGAGAGAGAGATAATCCAACTAGTTATTTTGC